TTTTTATATATTTCCATTTATTATCACAATGGTGGTAGAAAACGAAATGCCCTGCAATGTACAGTGGTAATAATAATTTACCTATATTTCGTCATTGCATTCCATTTAGACATAACTGCAGATAAATTTGCAATTTTGTCATAGTTTATTTAGTCATTGCATTCCATTTAGACATAATTTGCAGATAAACTTGCAGACTTGTCATACAATACAACAGACTCTGAACAGTATGTAGACACAATCATTTCCTGTCCAAAAACATTAATGCTGTAACACTAAGAGTATGCAAGCTTTATTTTATGATTAAATGTAAATACCGGTGATGTAAATACACTTCAAATTCAAATCCTTTGGTACTTACAGCATTGAAAAGTTTTCCTCAACATCTCCTCATATGTTGACCTTACATCTAAATTTGAAGTTTCATAGCTTTTTCCCCATTAAAATATATTCTGTGGGTTTGAGGGATGGGTTAGGACAAGGAAAAGCATCAAAATAACAAATATTATGCAAGACTTTCACCCCCATTGGGGATGTTCATACTTGCAATTAAACCATGAAGTTCTTTCATTTTTGTTCACTGTTCTTGGAATAAACACACAAAAAGCACACAATAAGTCAGTCTGGTGGTACAGATTGTTCATTGTTTCAATGATGGGAAGATAATGGTCTGTATGGACATAAATATAAATTACTATTTAGAATTTTATGTATGACAGAAAAAGGATAATTTATGTACAGCCTTCTCAATCGTCTCTGTAGCAGCGGGAAGAACTTTTGATGGAGGCAAAGTCATAGGCCATCGTAACAAGTTTCCAAGGACAAATCAGTAAAATTAGACTGTGTGAAGATGTAAATTCCAACAGTATTTCCACAGGCTGCTACCCATTATTGAGAAGGCTGTAGATAGATCTGTTTTGTAATTGCACATTCATGATTGTCTACCTGTTTGGGGTAAATAAATAACCCTAACAATTACAGATAAACCATACCACCATGTACCTTAAAAGGTTATTGAAACTAATAAAAATAAAAAAATAAAAGTGGTTCACAATGTAAGATGCTATGCCAATTAACTTAAAAATATAGATCTGCCAAACAAAGAAAAAAAAAATATTTTCAATATGTTAAGGAGATAAAGTTCTCTTCATTATTATCAAATTAAGCCAATTATATTACTATATTTTCTATCTCATGTTAAATATATATTCACTGTCCAGATGAGGTTGAAAGCATTTGCAAACAGTTGGAAAAAATATACTTTAAGAAAGGCAAAACATTTTAAGAGCAAATTGGCAGGTATCACTTCTATCCAGCTACAAGGCATTCAGCATCCATTCACTACTCTTACTATGTACCATATTTCGTGACTTTACCTAAAAAAATATGTACATTGTCACAAACATAAATACCAGGCTTAACACAAACATCCACTCCGACTAAAGCTTCAAAATTATTAAGGACTAATGAGATACAGATACGCAGAAATCGCTTGACCAATTCATGTACTCTCAGGGACGGGAGACCATCAATGATACCATCGAAGTACTCCAAAACCTCAGTGCAACAAGTCTAGTATGCAAACTGGAAGTATTTCTGCAATTGGGAGCCACAGGAGAGAAAGACTGCTAGCTATCTGGGCAGCCCACATCATACTTGTAGGAAGTCAGTGAGGAGGGTAGTTCTTCGTTTCTCCACGATGTCCATCTGGTTCTCCAAGTCACCTCGGTCGGTCATCTCTGCTCGTTCGATCTTCCAGGAGAGGTTTTCGATCTCCGCTTCTAGTTGAGCTTGCTGGTATTCAAACTGTTCAAAGGAGTTTATATAAATGTTGAATTATAGACTGGGAACTTACTGTGCATTAATTTTTACTCTTCTCAAGGTTAATTTTAGCTGGAGGCAAAGGAGATTCACCAAACAAACTTCCAACTTATCCACAAAACACAGAGTGAGCTACCCTAACTCTGCTTTCCTTCACAGATATATCTTTGGAAGTAAAACATCTCACATCAAACAAAACTAATAATACTTTTGGAATGTATTGATGTATTAAATAAAAAAAAAAGCTATATCTATCTATCTATCTATCTATATATATATATATATATATATATATATATATATATATATATATATATATATATATATATATATATATATATATATATATATACATAGTCTATACATACCAGATCTTTCCTGGGTCCAGACTCAAGATAATAGGCAAAGGGATACGTGTTCTGGAGGGTATATCGACATCTCGCAAGAAGAGCTGCGGCATCTAGAAGGTACTGCCAATCAATCCAAGTACCCGTGCCTGCCATCACCTTGTTCTGAATCCTTTCACGAATTTTCGCTAAAGTCTCTTCCTCAAGCTTTAAGGATTTACTATGATTTTCCCACTGGAATAGAATATGAAATAAGAATAATGAACATATGACACAGAAATGATATTCAGTTCAGATCTGTATTACTGATATAGAAATAAATTAGTATATAACTTTTTTACACTAGCGTGAACAAACTTTCAACAATCTAGTCTACATGTAGCAAATCAAAATCCCCCCCCCAAAAAAAAAAAAATTGTTATGAACTAAATGGCATGAAATATATACATAAAAAATGATGATGATGATAAAAAATGAAACAAAAACTGCTGACTTGTTACTGAAAGTTTCCCAGAATGACTCACCCTCTCATAGTAATGGAGGTACTTCTTAAGGGCTTCCCTGGCTTGGGCATGAGCAGACTCATGGGCAATGTTGGGGTTCTCCTTGTAGCGAGAACATTCATAATATTCTGAACCATGTGCTTTCCAGCAGCCTAAACACATCCAGCAGAAGTCATGCTTGCAATTATAGCACTGCATGTGGTTGCATCCACCATTCTTTTCAATACAGATGTGGCACTTGGGGCACTGTGGTGATAAATCAAAATATATTACTTTTCAAGTTAATTCCAACAATTAATTTGCATCTGAAAGAGATTTTCAATTTCACAATAAATATTTCAAATCTGTAATTCACACCAAATACAAAAGAAAAAAATCCAACTACTCTACTAACATCTTTGGTATGTGCACTGATGTAATTTGCCGTTTCACTATCATCGGCACATTTGGTCAACCATTTCTTGATGGTTTCACAGTCTGTTGGGGCATGATAGTCTGATCCACATTTATAACTGAAAAAGAAGGTGGGAAAGAGGATATGAAGTTGTATTCTGTTTAGCTGATTTGTTTAGCTTTGACACCACTAAAATCAAAGTAAATGAGTCTTGCATTATAAGGGAAGGCTAATATAAAACATGATATATAAATCTGTCACATCTTAGCTATAATCTGAAATCATAAAACCACTATTGCATATCATTAAAACAAAATAGATGGCAAAAGAACAACACCATCCCATCTCAATAACAAGATAAACAAAGAAAAAATGAATGAGTAAAAAGCATCATCCTTACCAAAACTGAGTCTTGCAGGACGTACACTTCACGCGCTTTGCCCGGCTCTCCTTGGCTTGCACTACAATATTACAGTTAGGTCCAGGGCAGAAGCGCAACTGTGGGTGACTGCGCACGTAATCAGCAAATGCATACTGTTGATACTTTTCTTTGAGCCGTGGACGGGTTAATAGTGGAAGAACAAAGTCCTCAGGAGCCAGGACTTGGCACTTTTGACTCACCCTCTCTAGTACTGGAGGTACTTCTTAAGGGCTTCCCTGGCTTGGGCATGAGCAGACTCATGGGCAATGTTGGGGTTCTCCTTGTAGCGAGAACATTCATAATATTCTGAACCATGTGCTTTCCAGCAGCCTAAACACATCCAGCAGAAGTCATGCTTGCAATTATAGCACTGCATGTGGTTGCATCCACCATTCTTTTCAATACAGATGTGGCACTTGGGGCACTGTGGTGATAAATCAAAATATATTACTTTTCAAGTTAATTCCAACAATTAATTTGCATCTGAAAGAGATTTTCAATTTCACAATAAATATTTCAAATCTGTAATTCACACCAAATACAAAAGAAAAAAATCCAACTACTCTACTAACATCTTTGGTATGTGCACTGATGTAATTTGCCGTTTCACTATCATCGGCACATTTGGTCAACCATTTCTTGATGGTTTCACAGTCTGTTGGGGCATGATAGTCTGATCCACATTTATAACTGAAAAAGAAGGTGGGAAAGAGGATATGAAGTTGTATTCTGTTTAGCTGATTTGTTTAGCTTTGACACCACTAAAATCAAAGTAAATGAGTCTTGCATTATAAGGGAAGGCTAATATAAAACATGATATATAAATCTGTCACATCTTAGCTATAATCTGAAATCATAAAACCACTATTGCATATCATTAAAACAAAATAGATGGCAAAAGAACAACACCATCCCATCTCAATAACAAGATAAACAAAGAAAAAATGAATGAGTAAAAAGCATCATCCTTACCAAAACTGAGTCTTGCAGGACGTACACTTCACGCGCTTTGCCCGGCTCTCCTTGGCTTGCACTACAATATTACAGTTAGGTCCAGGGCAGAAGCGCAACTGTGGGTGACTGCGCACGTAATCAGCAAATGCATACTGTTGATACTTTTCTTTGAGCCGTGGACGGGTTAATAGTGGAAGAACAAAGTCCTCAGGAGCCAGGACTTGGCACTTGTTACCCATACACTCAATACCTGCAAGATTGAGAGGATTTTACTCCTTTACATGCATCATATTGTTAATATTAGACTTCTTAAACAATCAGGAGGATGAGGATGAGGTAGAAGAGGAGGGGCACAAAATGAGAAGGGAAGAGAATGAGGGGGACAGACAGGGAGAGGGATAAAGAAGTGAGAAGAGGAGAGCAGAAGCTGGGGAGAAAGGTAGTGGAAGAGAAACAGGGGAGAGAGGTAGAGGAGGAAGTGAAAGAGGAGGAAGTGGAAGAGGAAGAGGAGGAGGAAGAGGAGGAGGAAGAGGAGGAGGAGGAGGAGGAGGAGGAGGAGGAGGAGGAGGAGGAGGAGGAGGAGGAGGAGGAGGACGAGGAGGAGGACGAGGAGGAGGAGGAGGAGGAGGAGGAGGAGGAGGACGAGGAGGACGAGGAGGAGGAGGACGAGGAGGAAGAGGAGGAAGAGGAGGAAGAGGACGAGGAGGAAGAGGACGAGGAGGAAGAAGGAGGAGGAGGAAGGAGGAGGAGGAAGGAGGAGGAGGAA